GTAAGCCTGGGAGCAGCTGAGTGCGACAGCACTTCCTTTCTCCACAGCTGGTCTGTGGCTCTGACTTTGCCCTACAGATGGGAACCTTGGCACCCCGGGGAAGGAGGCAGCTGAGGAGAGCCCCTCATAAGTCGGCAGGAAAGCAGGACCAAAGGGAAGGAATACTGTGCCCTTGTGACTATAGATTTGTGCATGTCATAAGCAAATCCTGGTTTGGGCCTCATATATTTCGAAGTAATGTTTGTATTTTGTATTCTTCCTTCACTTTATTTTTAGGGTTTAGTTGTTGTTCCTTTTATTTCCATTTAAATTTTCTGGTAGTTGATGGGAATCATCACTTAAGTGATCAAAATGCAAAATCACGTGAAGCCTGAACTAGGAAGAACCTTCCAGGGGGAAAAACTGAAGGGGGTGGGGAGCACAAAACTGTAATTCCACAACAGTTTCCAGCCCCTTTGAAAACTGGTTCCCTTGACCTTACTACTGTGATCACACTGTTCAGAATCCTGCCGTTTCTTTCTCTCCTATTTTCTTTGGATGACATTTACTTGGGACACCCTCTTGTTTTCCAACACATGGGAAACTGCGTACTCTCATATTATTTGGATGCAGTTCTATAAAGGATCATCAAGCAGGAAGTGTAGAGGTATGGGGAAGTGGTTTGGAAGCCTTTCTCTACGAAGCTAAAGGGGACATGTCTCTTCAGGTAAATGAGAGATCTCACTGCAGCGGGAAGGAAAGGCACCAGCTTGATTCAAGGTGTGTGGCTGCACCTTTGGAGCTTCCTCTTGACCCCTCAGCTCAATGCTTTCCCCTGAACTGGGCCACTGTCCTTGCCAGTCCTGACCTTACTCAGCCTGACTTAACCACACTCTTCAACTGTCCTACATGACCTTGCCCATTGTTGTCCTTAGCCTGGCCAAGGACAGCAGGGCATGTCAGGTTCCAGAGAATGGCTGTGCTTTGGTCCTGACCATTGCTGAAATTCTTTGTTAAAAGAAATGTTTTACAAATATAGGATTTGTCTCCAGGGACTCAGGCCAACTTCAGTGAACTTTCTGTCTAGCCAGAAAATGAAGAGGACTTGAAACACTTACTGATGAAGCTCAAAGACTACAGTCTTCAGTTTGGATTACACCTTCACATGAAAAAAATAAAAATTATCATAACTTGATCAATAAACAACATCATGATAAATAGAAAAAAATTGAAGTTGTCAACTATTTCATTCTACTTGGATCCACGGACTATGTACGTGGAAGCAGAGGTCGAGAAATAAGATGAAGTATTGCACTAGGCAATTCTGTGGCAAAAGACCTCTTTAAAGTTATAAAAAGCAAAGATGCCACTTTGATGACCGCGATGGTTAAGATTGTATGTCAACTTGGCTAGGTCATGATTCTCAGTGTTTTGGCAGTTGTATAATGTTGTGATCACTTCCCTGTTTAAATTTGATATGTGATCACCCCCATGATGGAATGTGCTGAGTGGTACCAGTGGGGGCGGGGTCTATGGCGGCTCACCAACCCCTCAGCCTTCATCTTTCTGTCCTCCGCTGGCTACTTTCTTCCTGCTCGCCTGGCCAAGGTTTTTGGCTTGTTCCATACCCAGCAGCTGCCTCTTGTCATCTCACCTCCAGTTCTTGGGACTTGAGCTAGCAGCTTACCTGTCAATCTTGGGATTCATCGACCTTCACAGCCTGCCAGCAAGAGTCCTGTTCCCCGACCCACTGATGTTGGGTTAGCCAGCCCTCGCAGCTATGTGAATCAGGAGAAACGTTGTGGTCTTGTCTGCCGATGTTGGAATTCATCAACCTTCACAGCCTGTGAGTGGGAGCCCTGCTCTCCAACCTGCCGACCTTGGGTTTGCCAGCTTCTGTGGCTGCATGAATTGAGAGAGGCCTCTACCCTGATCCACAGACTTGGGACGTTCTAGCCTCTACAATTGCGTGAGCTGTTTCCTTGATATAAATCTCTCTATATATATATTTACACACTTTACTGGTTTTGCTTCTCTAGAGAACCCAGCCTAAGACAATGACTAAGCTGTGCCTGACCCAAACTGTAATCTTTTCAATCACCTTATATGCTTGCCAAAATTGGACAATGAAAAAGAAAAACAGAAAAACTGATGTGTTTGAATAGTGGTGTTGGAGAAGATTATTGAACATGCCACAGACTGACAAAAGTACAAACAAATCAGTTTTAGAAGAAATACAACCAGAAAGCTCCTTAGAAGTGAGAATTCAGCTTGTGCTTACATTGAACATGTCATCAGGAAAGACCAATTGCTAGAAAAGTACATCATATTTGGGAAAGTGAAGGGTCAGCAAAAACTAGGGATTCCCTTAATAAGATGGATTGGCATGATAGCCACATCAATGGACTCAAACATACCAATGATCATGAAGATGACACAGGACTGGAAAACATTTTGTTCTGTTATACATAGGGTCACTATGACTCGGAGCCAACTGGAAGTCAACTAACAACAACAAGCTTTGAAACACCTCTGTCTGGAAAGAGAAAGCTCCTAGTTGGGATAGCCGGAGGAAAAAAAGGTAGTAATCAGGCAAGGGAGAGTAGAGTAAGAGACGGAAAACAAGTAAGAAGCATAAACAGAAGCAGCTTCCAGTGATGGCTGAACATGAGTCCACTAAAGGGTCACTGGCGGCGAGCCCTGATTGAGGAGTGTTTAAGAGCTTGGCTGCTAACCAAAAGGTCAGCATTCTGAATTCATCAACCGCTCCTAGGAACTCCTATGGGACAGTTCTACTCTGTTCTATAGGGTAGCTATGAGTTGGAATCGACTTGATAGCATTGGGTTTGGATTTTTGGTTTTAGGAGACCAGTGGTGCCCTCTGGTGGCACCTAGAGGGCCTGGGCACTCGCACATATGGATCTCTTGTTTTCATTTCACCCATAAGACCTATGGTCTTGCCAAAATTTACTACCTCACATCAAGGTCACTTGAGATAAGAGAACAGCCTAAAGAAGCTGTATTAGTATCAGCAGTGCACCTGGTCAGGGCTTAAGACTTCAAAACAGCCTCGCACTGCTGACTCTAACATTATCTCAGAGTCAGGATGAACACTCAGTACCCAGGCAGTTACATTTACTGACAGCAGTTCTAAGTGTTTCCTGGCCAGCAGGTGGCACATCTCTATGCAGGGCTGGGGGAACCCATACGTGTGGACATCTGGGCCCTGATTCACCTTCACTGGAGGCTCAGCCACCTAGGGCAGGTCAGCCCATACAGTGCCCTGAATCCCACCCCTCCACCTCCTCCCCAGGGACTTGCTCTTCAGAGGACAAACGGACGACAGAGAGGTGGCTTTGGCAGAACCTCATTCTCTATCTTGGGCTCACAAGGGATTGTGAAAGAGGAAAAGGAGAAGACAGAGTCTAAAATGTGCCTCCTGAAGCAGAAATGCTCCTTGCCCGACCTTGAGACTGGTTGGGGAGCCAGTCCCACAGGTCTTCCTAGGAGAGCGAGGGGACTCTGAGCCCAGGCGCTAAGTGGAGATTTGGAGAGTGGGAAGTGGCTGAGAGCACACAGGGGAAGGGCCCAGCAGTTGAGAGAGGTCCCTGTGTGCATTTCAGGACAGCCCTCCCATCCCCCAGGGTCCCCCACGCATGGGCGGACAGGCCAGGAGGAGAGGGCTCCCCACAAGGACAGGTCCCCCAACACTAGACCCGCCCAACACCACACGCCCTTCAGGGCCCTGGAGACAGTGTGACCAGCACACCTCCGACAGCAGGGAGGTACCCTCTGAGGCGCACACTGAGCAAGCACACAGCTTAATCTCAGGGAGACAGGAACTAGTGCGCTGCACCCAGGGCCAGCGTCCTGGCTGCCGGTGTTGCTGGCCTCTGTCCCTAGCCCCTTAACAGAGAGACGTCTGCTCCCAAAGGGTCAGGGGACACATCACCCTCTGCTGGGCTGACCCCCAGGAGACTGCCCCCCATGGGAGCTGCCTGGAAACGACTCCAGAGTGGGATGGGGGACCTCTTTGGAAAACCCATGTTGGAATCAGGGCGAGAAGGGGCCCTGCTCTAAGCTGCTTTCTGCTGGTTGAGCCACGTGTATAAGCATGGCCAGAGGTGGGAGCAGACAGGATAGGGGGTGGGGGGGGTCTAGAGGACAGATAAATTTACTCAAAGCCGGGACGAGGCAGGGCAGGGCAGTGTAGGGTCCAGATTCTAAGGGGAGAAGGATCTGCAGCCAGGCCCACCCGGCCAGCAGCGGAAAGGGCCAGGCCTGGCTCTCACCCCGGCCCTACCCGCACTTCACGTTCTGTAGACACCCCTCCCTGGCTGTCTTGGTGGAGAACGAAGTCCAGGAAGCTGTTCTGACACCAGCTTGGTTTGGTTCCCTGAAGCAGACCCAGAACAAGGGCTGGGTGCAGGGTTTTATTTGGGAGACAACCCCAGGAAGCACAATGGGAACATTAGACCGAGAAGGAGGCCACCATCGGGGCAACGTGGTTTATCGTGCTGGGGCGCACTGAGAATCATGTGGGGGCAGGACTGTGATTGGGCATGGGACATTTATCCCCACGATGGAGTCCATCCTCAGGACTTCACCTGTCCCACACCTGCGTGCTGTACCTGCTCTGGCATAGCAGAAGCCCCGGCTGAGTAGGAGGGAGACACAGGTGCTGGGGGCGGGGATTATCAGCTGCAGGTCATGGGTACAACCAGATTCAGGGCACTCAGGGGTGTCGAGTTTCAGGGTTGACAACTCTGGCCCCTGTTCCATAGCCCCCTCCCCGAAACCACCGAACACAAAGCTGCTTCAAATGCTAACGTTTGTTTAATGGTCTATTCTACACAAGGAAACTGCAGAAGTGCTATGTACTTCTACAGCATCCAAGGCCTGGTGAGAGGCCCAGACCCCTGGGATCCAGGAGACCAGCAGCGCGGACCCTCGGCCTTGAGGAGCTGCTGGCAGAGAGTCACTGGGGTCCCAGGAAGAGCAGCCACAGCTCTGTGGTGAGGTCAGGAGTCCGGGACGCCCTCCTCACAGGTGCTGTTCAGCAGATCAAACTTGGTTCTCCAGGGCTGGGTGCTGACGGTGAAGAAGCAGCTGAGCGTCTGTGGGGACATTATGGAGGACCCGGGGGGATGAGACTTTGAGAGCCATAGTCGAGCTCTGAACAAATGGCGTGTCCCCGCGTCCATCTGCAACACGGCTATGCTAGGCGCCAGCACCCCAGGGATGCAGCCCTGGCCCTTAGATGAGGCCCCTGGAGTGCTGGGACTTCCCGCCCTCAGCATGACCTGAGTCTCTTGGTTGTGTGTTCTTTCACTCCCTCCCCAGGTCTGTGGCCTCCAGGGCACCCCCAGAGCAGCCACAGAGTCCTAGGATCCAGAGGGTGCTGCTCAGAGAGCAAGGACTCTTCGATGAGGCTAGACCCAGTTCCGGGGTCACCTCTGCTTACCACCCAGGCTGCCCAGCTCCCATCCCAGGACTGGGCACTGCAGCTCAGCAGGCCCAGGGCTGTGGCTGCTAGGGTAGGGCAGGGGACCCTCCTCAGCTCCAGCCCTCAGACCTGGGTGAGTGGGTAGGGAGACCTGAGACGGCCTCCTCGGGCAAATGCCGTATCTCAGCAGGGACCAGGTCACCTTCCCCCTGGAAGCAGGGAAGAGAGTGTTTGTGGGGGGGAGACCAAGAAGGGAGGGCCACACCCTCTACTCGGTGGCCCCAGAGCCCAGGACCGATCAGGCAGCAGCAGTTTGAATGCCCATGTGGGCAGGGCTGAGTGGGACCACAGGTGGCGTGGTGGTGCTGCTCTCACCCATTTTCTCCGTCCTTGGAATCCTTTTGTCATCTGTTCCCCATGCCCCTCAGCCCCAAGCATGCAGCGTACACAGCTGTGCAAAAAAATGATGGAAGGTCACTCCGTGCCTCCCATTGCTCACCTCTGGGCTTTCCTGGAAGGGGCAGTTGTCAATGTCCTCTTCAAATTTCCCACACCTGGTCTGGCGCAGCTCCAGCTCCATGGAGAAAGCCAGCATGGAATCCAACTATGGGCCAGACAACAGACAGACAGACTTGACAGTGGAGACGCCCTCTCGGCTCCCTCAGACTGCTGCTAGTGTACGTGTGTTCAGTGTAGGAGAAGCCCAGCTCACTCAGTTAGGAGCTCACCCAGGGCTGGGGCTCTGTCCCTGGAGGTCAAGGCAGGTGGAGCCTCCTCCAGTCAAAGAGGTAAGGACAGAGAGGCAGGCTGGTGTTGGGGATGGGGGAAGACACAGGCCGAGTCCCACCTCACAATGTCATGCAGCCTCTCCCCCATGGAGATCCCTCCCTCACTGCCCCAAGCATCTGAAGTTAGAGGCACCCCCAGAGCATGAGCGGCTGCTGCCAGTGCTCTCCTGCCTGCCTGGAGGGATCAGCTGTCCAGGAGTTTGTTGGCAATGTGGACTGAGAGAGGGAGTCTTGTCGGCAGCCATGTTGTCAAACCTTCCACCTGCACCAACAGCAAGAATACTTCCTACAAAGCTACCTGGTACACATGTAAACAAACACACATATGCACTCACACACATACACGTGCATGTGCAGGCAAGCACATACACACACCCTCACACACAGGGAACAATGGTTTCAAGAAACAACATTTGTCCCAACTGTACTCTGAAATTATCTTTACTTTGCATCCTCAACTGTACGGGGGCTGTGAGTGAGAGCTAGGACACCCGATCCAGGCTGCCTCCAAAGAGCTTTGGCCTCAGAGACACTTTGAGTGCTGAGGACCATTTCCTTAGAGGCCTGGTCTTCTCCCTCTGTTGGAGGGAAGAGGGTAAGGTGGTCCTCTGCCTTCCTTTCAGGTGCTGGGTACAGAAGCCAGGAAAGGAATGCCCACTTGCCACACTCACAGAAGTGTCCTTTAGGAGAGGACTCTCCCGCAGATGCCCAAGTCCAAGCCCAGAGAAAAAGCACCTTCCTGGGCACTGCCATGCTGCATGATTCCATTTAAAAGGAGAACATGTTGGGATTAAGTACAGTGATCTGGGACTAGAGAAAAACAACATATAATCCACTGATGAAGACATAGTAGGTGAAGACCACACCAGACCAGGAACTCTGAGCAAGAGGGGGTTGGAGATGAGGAGCTGACTCACAGCATCTCTCTCATTTTATTTCCTTGAAACATCTTCTAGTCTGTCTCTGTAGGTACTTTCTGTCAGGCTGGTTCCCTTACCTAGTGTCCTCATCTACTTATTGGTCCATATTTTGAAGCCATTGTTCAGATAAATAATGTTACAAAATTGATGAAGACTGAAAAATCTATCCTGCATGTGAATAAAACATTGACAGAATTTTTAAAAACCTTCTAAGTTAAATCTTTCATAAAAAGTGAAACTGAACTAAGGTGTATGTTATTTGAGTATGGACTTCAAATGGAGAACGAAGGTACCGTGATAAGACCCTCCCTTGTCCCTAATTTAACAGCAAATGCAGGAGGGCAGGGCAGGAGCGAAGCCATTCACCCACCTTTTCCTTCCAGGCCCTCAGGATGCGAACCAGCCTGTAGGCGTGAGTGTCCCTGCTCTGCAGGTTGAAGGAGTGCAAGGCATACTCCACGGTGGCGGGGAAGTACTCAGCCATGATGTTTTGGTCAGCGAGGTCATTTCCCTCTGTGGTAAGCCATGCGTGAGTCACCAGGAGCAGGAAGCCCAAGAGGAGCAGGAGCACCCAGCGAGGCCGAGCCCATCTCCGAGGCCATCGGGACATGGCTGCGTTGACCGGCTCCCACAGCCTCCGCCTGCACAGCTCCGGCTCCCACGTAGCCTGCCTGGGCACGGGTCCAGGGTTCACACTGTATCCTCTAGAATGCCTCCACCCACCAGGACTCCTTTCTGCCATGCCAACTTGCCCTTTCATAAACGTCAACCCTCATACTCCACCCAAAGCTGATTAGGTCTCCTGTCCATGGGGAAGGGACAGCAGCAGGTGGTGTGGGCTGGGAAGGACCAGCTTGGGAGGGGTGGGTCACCTGGGATTCATGCCAGCCACAACCCCTCCCTCAGAGCCTCGGTGGTGGGAGGGGTCTTTGACTTGGATGCCCCCGAATCTGACCCTGAGAGGAAGAGACAAGTGGGAGAGATGTATGTGGACATGCCTCCTGGGGGCACCAGCAGGACCAGCCCACAAGCAAGGACAGAGGCAAAGTGTTGGGTTGGGGAGAGCTAACTCTGTGGGTGAATAGAAGGCAAACCTGCAAGGGGGCTCTGTGGAAAGACCCCAACCCTTGCCTTTGGATTTCCAGCTCCAGCGGGAGGGCACTGGAGGCTGTGGGAAGGCTGGCCGTGGGCATTATTGCCCAGCACTTTTTCCAGTTCTCCAGGAGGACCACCTCTTGACAGAGAAGAGACTCGAGGAAGGACACATAGGTGCTGGCTGTTGAGGCAGCCACGTGGGGAGGTGCTCGGGCACACAGCGCCTGCCATGACACAGACATGGGGAAGGGCTTCAGCAAAGCCAGAGAACAGCCACAGGATGTCACAAGCCAGGGCAAATAAGGACAGAGTGGGAGAGGCAGAGACATGTCATGTGTTGGCACCAGCTGGACAGTCAAGCGGCCAGACAGAGCTCTGGACGGTGGCATGAGGGTGGCCATGAGGGATACCCCATTCAGGCCGTGAACTCAGTGTGCTCCATTTTCCCTTCTCCTCCCATGCTGCAGAACAGGGGAGAGAATCTGGGAGGGGGGTCCTGAGCCTTGGGGGTGAGGAAGGGGGCAGAGGGAGAGAGCCGAGGGGGATCCTGAACCATGTTGTTGTTAGGTGCCATTGAGTCGATTCTAACTTATAGTGATCCTATGTAGAACAGAAGGAAACACTGCCAGGTCCTGCACCATCCTCACAATGCTTGTTATGCTTTAGCCCATTGTTTCAGCCACTGTGTCAATCCATCTTATTGAGGGTCTTCCTCTTTATTGAAGACACTCTACTTTACCAAGCATGATATCGTTCTCCAGGGACTGATTCCTCCTGATAACATGTCCAAACTATGTGAGACATAACCTTGCCATCCTTGCTTCTAAGGATCATGCTGGTTGTATTTCTTCCAAGACAGAGTTGTTCATTCTTTTGGCAGTCCATGGTATATTCAATATTCTTCGCAAAACACCATAATTCAAAGGCGTTAATTCTTCTTCGGTCTTCCTTATTCATTGTCCAGCTTTCATATTTATAGGTGGCGACTTAAAACATCATGGCTTGAGTCAGCGCACTTTAGTCTTCAAGGTGACTTCTCTGCTTTTCCACATTCCAAAGAAGTCTTTTGCAGCAGATTTGCCCAATGCAACACATCTTTTGATTTCTTCACTGCCGTTTCCATGGGTGTTGATTGTGGATCCAAGTAAAATGAAATCCTTGACAACTTTAATCTTTTATCCATTTATTATGTTGGTCCAGTTGTGAGGATTTTTGTTTTCTTTATCTTGAGGTGTAATCCATACTGAAAGCTGTGGTCTTTGATCTTCATCAGTAAGTGCTTCAAGTCCTCTTCACTTTCAGCAAGCAAGGTTGCATCATCTGCATGACGCAGGTTTTTAATGAATCTTCCTCCAATCCTGATGCCGAGTTCTTCTTCATATAGTCCAGCTTCTTGGATTATTTATTCAGCGTGTGGACTGAATAAGTATGGTGAAAGGCTACAACACTGACACACAATTTTCCTGACTTTAAACCACGCAGTATTCCCTTTGTTCTGTTCCATTGACTGCCTCTTGATCTATGTACAGGTTCCTCATGAGCACAATTAAGTGTTCTGGAATTCCCATTTTTCACAATGTTATCCATAATTTATTATGATCCACATAGTCGAATGCCTTTGCACAGTTAATAAAACACAGGTAAACATTTTCTTGGTATTGTCTGCTTTCAGCCAGAATCCATGTGACATCAGGAAAGATATCCCTCCTTCCACGTCCTTTGACCCATGGAGGGTGAGGAAAGGGGGTACAGGGAGAGAGCCCAGGGGGATCCTGAGCTGTGGGAGTGAGGAAAGGAGTGGGTTTCAGAGAGGCTCCCACTGCACAGGCCCCTCCAGCCCAGCCTGACCTTCTCAACCCTCGGCCGTGAGAGAGAAATGTAACTGTATGAAAGGGACGGTGAGATCTTGGGGTTCACATACAGCAGAAGCCCCACCCTCCCAAGGAATCCACGTGAGTTCTTCCGGAACCACAGGGACCACCAGAGCCTGGCCTTGGAGACCCAAGTGCCAGCCCAGTCAGCTATGTGCTAGTCCTCAGCCTTCCGGTTCCTGACTCGTCTGTGCCTCAGGGCCACCTGCCAAGTGGGTACAGCATGGTGCCTTCCCCCAAGTCTTGCTGTTTGGGGCATAAATGGGATCCTGGGGTGGAGGTGCTGTGCGTATTGAAAAGTTCTCGTTGGGTTGAGAATTTTTCTGTACTGTAACTACTTTCCTCGTCTCTGCTTGGGTGAGTTTGGAACTTTCACATTTCTAACTTCTCCGTAGATGTCTGGACCTGGGCCACAGCCCTGGGGACAAGAGTTACAGAAGGGCTCAGTGCTGCCACAGAGAATGACAGCCAAGTGTAGAACTCAGAGTTATTTTCACCACTGTAATGATCGAAGTGTCCCCTGAGTGTCAGCCCAGGGAGAAGACCACAGGTAGAGAAGGCAGGAGCAAAAGTGCCCTCCAGAGTGGCTGTTCAGGCAGCAGGGGGGCAAGGGATCCCTGGTCTCAGCCACAGGCACAGCCCAGGCAACCAGGGAGGCTGCCCTCTCCCCTCGTCCCAGGCTGCCCACCACGATCATCCTCTGTGCTCTCTCCTTACTCCATGGGGACCCCCTCATGCCCACCTGCACCATGTCATGTGCTCTCTTGATGGTCATCTCAAGTGGATTTTTCCTCTCTGAGCCACAGAGGCATCGAGGGGCAAAGGTTTCTCTCTCACTCAGGACAGAAATGGATACATGCACCCCTACAAACAAGAGTATCTCTGCCAAGCACAGAAATCAGCAGCTCCCATTAAATGCCCTTTAATGTTGACCAATTTTTTTATATACATCACTAGTCAAATGGCAATGAAAGGAATGATCTTATAGCAATAGTAACATGGTGGATGATTGGATGTAATTCAAAAGCACCAACAGCAAAAAAGAGGCAAGTTATATGGTGATAAATAGTAATGAATCTGCATACAGTCAGCACCATGGACTGGAAATGTACAACCAAGTAACTGTTGAAATTACAAGGAAAATCAGCAATTCTAGAGTCACATTGGGAGATTCTAAAAGAACTCTCAGAAGCTGATATCAAGTAGGCTAAACATTATAAACCATTTAGCAGAGTTGAAAAATCCATTAACTAGTCTTCTTCAATGTTTTTTCTGTAAATCCATCTACCCAATAGAGAATTTTTCTTAATGCTCTAATAATCATGAAATTAAAGTGTAAAAAGAATTACAAAAATATTGGTAATTCAATAATATGACTAACTAATAATTAATCTAATGATTAAATTAATTGAATAACTGTGTTTGTAGGTGATAATGTAATCAAATCAGTAGTAAAATGTTAGTGGTAAATTATTAGTAAATTAAACAAGTAAAAATTAATTGGCATCAAAAAGTAGCAGTACAATAAATTAGCTATAAATTAGTAGTAAAAGTCAACTTTAAATTTAATAATTATTGAAAAAAACATAAAAATACTAATAACATACTCAAGGTATGTTATTATTTAACTTAACACCTTATTACCAAATAACTCATCTTTTTTTTTCTTAGCAACATATAGTAATACATTTTAAAACTTGTAAATTACAGCTAACATAGCATTACAAGGAAATTTATACTCATAACTGAATTTATTAAAATGCTAGAAATAATAGAAAAAGAAGAAAAGAATGACCTTAAAGTAGAAACGTAAGGTTAGCAATAAAAGAATCTAACTTTAAAAGAAGAGAGAGGGGGCTAATGAACTAAATCAAATCTTGGGTGAAAAGATTAGTAGGAGTAGGCAAACAGCAAGATTATGAAGATGAGAGAGAGAATACAAAAAAGGAATAATATATAATATTAGCAATGAAAAGGGCAGACCTCTAGAGGCACTAGAAGCATGGAAATGTATGTATCAAAATAAAAAGCTGTTAGACTTGTCACCAAATTATAATCCATAAAAAGAAGAACGAATAAATTGGTCCTCAGTAAAATTAAAAACTTTTGTTCTGTGAAAAGCCCATGTGAAGAGGGAGAAAAGACAAGGCACATAATGGGAGAAAATATTTGTAAACCATATATCCAACAAATGACTTGTACCTAGAATATATAAAGAACTCTCAAGACTCAACAGTAAACAAACCAACAAATCCAATTAGAAAACTGGCAAATGATATGAACAGGCATTTCACAAAGAGGATTTACAGATGGCAAATAAACACATGGAAAGATGTCGGTATCATTAGCCATTGTTGTTATTGTTATTAGTTGTCGTAGAATTGATTAAGACTTGTGGCAATTCTATACAGGCAGAGTAGAACTGCTCCGTAGGGTTTTCAAGGCTGTAATTTTGAAAATGCAAATTAAAACCACAATGAAATACCAAATACAAATTAAAACCAGAATTAGATACCGCTACACATTCATCAGAATGACCAAAATAAAGCATTGTGATGACACCAGATGCTGATGAGGATGTAGAGAAACTTGATCACTCAGACATTGCTAAAGGCTGGAATGTTAAATGGTACAACCACTCTGAAAAACAGCTTGACAGTTTCTTATAAAACTAAGCATGTAATTGCACTCTTGTTCATATACCCCACAGAAATGGAAACTTTTGTTCATG